GAAACAGTTGTCCAACCACCAACTTGCATGTTCGTAACAAACTGTCACTAACTAGCGGCTGTGCGCAAAATAGTTTGTAAACCACATGTACAAATATACAGGGCTGACTTCATCTCGTGCACAGGCCGCTCAATGGAACCGATGACCAGGAAGAAAAGCCGGCCGCTCGCAAGGGTTTCCTGGGGTAAGTTGCCACAAAGTGCAAGGAGGGCAGGCCGTCATGTCACAAAATTCACAGGGATGCGAGTCGCAAATGCGCAACGTTGGCAGTTGGCAGTGATGGAAAACTAAACGTCGACAGAGTCGTTGACCTGCCACCCCGTGTCTACAGAAAAAAAAGCGATGGTTCTCGCTTGCCTTGCGGTGTAGCTGAAACTCGCCCAGAACCTAGTTTTTGGTGAAGCGCAGCCAAGGTCCGTTCCCAGTGCAGTAGTGCCATTGCATAAGGTTGTTTGGTCGCTCGTGAAGTTGTGACGCTCCTTGTGTTGCCGTTTCCATTGGTAGGCAAGACTCCGGTACCGCTATGTAAGTGGGATCATGGCTGCAGTCTGATAGTGAGAAAAGGACACTGATTGCGATCTAGATTTGACAATGCTCTACTGGTAGATAATGACTCCATTCGTCTGCATCTCGGCAGACTTGGCCGAGCTCGAGAATGCACTCTGAGATTGATAAATCAATAAACGTATAACAAAATTCTCGAGCATATTCAACAACCATTGAGTCGAGAGTGTTCAACCACACATGTTACGTAGTGTCAGGCCACACGCAAGGGCTGCTGCTAATCCAGCGGGTTCGCCTGCGCGATCACCCGCGGAGACACCTATTGAGCGAGATGGGCCCCTGCCCAAACGGGGGGAAGGAGCCTGTCTCACAAGTACCAGGTAGTCAACTCCCAGCTCTTAAGATTCATGCTGGAGGATGCTGCATGGTTTTTCAATCCCGGTCGCGGCCACCACTAGGTGCGTCCTTTTATGCATCCCATGTTGGCCGCGGGAACTACAGCGGAAAGTGCCGCCTTGAAAACGCATCCTCCCCTTCCCGCTGTCGGGGATCCGTCATGCATGACGCCAAGAACTTCAACAGCTTCCTCTCTGGGGAGGAGATCTCTGGAGCCTTTTTTTCCTTTGTTCTTTGTGAGTGGTGTCAAGGATTGTAAGAGTGAGTGCGGGCTATATCACGCTCCGCGCTATGAGGTAACTATTGGCACAGCGTAAGTGGGCGGGAAAGTGGCCAGATGGGGTCTTGCGGACAGGCACAGTTCGATGAAGAAAATGGAAATAACGCTGCGAGATGGGTTGCAGCTCGGAGGGGAAAGTAGGACCCGATTGTACGACACGGCAAATTGAAGGGTACGCTGATCTTTTGGATGGTTCACCTTGCTTCACGACGGTTTCGCCATGCTGCTAATGGGCACTGCCCTTGCAGCACACAAGGCACCAACGGCTCGACGGGGTGTTGTCAAGATGCTGGCGAGCCGAATGTTTTCTAGAACCACACGGTCGCCATTTTGTACTGTAAAGTTGCAACTGCTTTGGGGCAGGCTCCATGCTGTCCCATAACTCTGGAACGGGTGGGCGACCCCGCCCAGGCACAGAATGGGACATACTTGCAGGCAAGAAGGATGCTGAATTTTGCTGATGAGTCTCTTGCAGGGCGTTGGAAGAAGAGCGTGTTGCAGAAATCTGGTAGGCGAAAGCAATGACAAGTATGATGGGAGACAGGGGCAGAAAAAGACTGTTACACAATGAGGCTATTTGCCACGAGGCGGCTTGGAGCCCTAACCAGGACATCCCGTGCCGGCCAGTCAAGTCTCGGGCCCTACTTCTTGCTCTTTCAGGCGTTCTTGGCCTGTGTATAAGCCAAGCCTCTTTTTTTCTCATTCTGAGCGCCACGCTGATTGGCGAAAGCATCGCGTACCGTCGGGCCTGTGCCGTCGCCTGTGTATTGAGAGATGGCCGCCTTCAAATGATAATCGAGTCATTCTTTGCATGCCTGGCTCTGTCTCCTTGCCGTTGCAGCAGGCTGCCTGTTGCAACCTAGTAACTATCGTAGCACAATGAGCCACACATGGACAAGCGGGGTACGGTTGGTGGCGGTGGGACAAGAAGAAGAAGAACAAGAAGAACAAGAAGAACAAGACTCGCGAGAAAAATGGTTTGATTATCTTCATCATTCGTAACTCGAGGATTCAACACGGACATGGACCGAGGACGCAGAAGTGGTCGCAACAGAACCCATTTTCTCATTGGTCCATAATTCAATAAGTGCAAAGCGTGGTATTGGAGCAAAAATCTGCAAGGCACTCTTAATATACCAAGACAGAAATGGATATGCATGTGCACACATCTGGAAGCATTCCGCATGCGCATATAATCATGTATATAAGACGAGGCTCTTGGTGACTGGTTGGCAGCCCCAGCTGACTCCATCAGACGCTGGGCCTAAATATCTTCTGCGTGACAGGGAAAGATAGGGCTTTGCAAAGCGAGGATGCGATTGGTTGGCGGAGAAACATGTCTGGTGGCCTTTTTTTGCAGCGAGTACCAGTATTAACTAACTAGTGACGATGGATTGGAAGAGTGCCATTATTACTCCGTCCGTCCACGTTGTTTGCGCGTGGGTAGTATATATGTGACTGGAAGTCGCTATATTCATGGTTGCGAGAGCCTGCGATGGGTCGGAAGCCGCTCTTGATGGATGTTGAGATGACTGACCAATTTTCTGACATTGAGCTTGTGCCTTGCTTGTTGGACTTTGCCTCGTACCGGAACAGCTGAATTGATATGCCCATCTGTTTTTCGTCTGGTGGGTGGTAAGAAGCCGTGGCACGTAGTTTGGACTAGTCAGTTGGCAGCAACTAATATATATTTTTAAGCTGCTGCTGGAAGGGAATCATCAGTAATAAGACGCTGACTATGAGAACGAGGCTTGAACAAAACTGAGGGTCCAACGACT